TATGGCAACAACCATCAACTATTTTACAATAAATTTTTCTTGTATGCACAACACTAGAAAATAACATTGAAACCTCTTCCTATAAATAACTATTTATCAAAATATTGCTTCGGTAGAAAAATAAATGGAGCCTCAATCTAAAGTAATATGCCCAATCCATTTCTCTATGAACCATCCACATATATAGAAAATACGTTGGCTTGTGTGTTTTGTGAATGTGCTTCATGATTTTATATCTAAGTAAAAATATCCTAGTATGACAAGTCAACATGAATAAACAGTCAACCAAAAAAGTTAATGCTATCTATGTTCATAAACCAAAGAATGTTATGTATGTATATTTTCAGATGTTAACTTGAGATTTAAAGATAACAAGCCTAACAAAATCATTTTAGATTACTCAACTACTATAATCTATATAAGCATACCGGTAAGACATTATACCCACTCTATAGAGAACAAAACATGAAAAGAAATCTTTACGGGGAAAATAAATTAATGAACTCCTTACCTTATTATGTTGGTCATATTTTTCTTCTTCATGAGCAATGTATTTAATTACTCTTTTGTACTTTGTTTTTATAAACTACTAAAGCAAACTATATAAGAAGTTTCCGTATGTCAACAATCAAAATACTAATCTTTTAAGTTTAGATCAAAAGAACTCCATACTCATTGGTAGCAAGACAAGCCTTCCAAACATAAAAAAAATCCTCTCCCACCTTACAAACTCTTTTTTCTACACACCCCTTGATAATGAACTGATAAGAAGTAAAGACTTTCAGCCTACAAAATTTTTTTTATACTAGCCTAATATTTATGATCAAGACATTAAACATACAGTAAAACAATCTGAAATGAAAACACAATACAAATACATCTAGTTTTAAAAATTATATTATCATATAAAATGTTGAGCTAACCATGATTTAAAATATTCATATAATGGAAAACCAATAATATAGTAACCAATTGTCAAGTAACTCCCTAGTGGGTTTTAAATGGAAATAGAAAATGCCTCTATTAACAATACAATAGATACTCAATGACAAAGAGATATCAATTATTCTCACGATTATGATTATAAAGTTTTGATAAATTGCACGAGAATTTGGCAATATTTCGTATCACATAATGGATAGAAGTAAATCCATGTCTACCCATTCTGCTTTGGAATTTTCTAAAGCATACACTAATTGACAATTTCTCTTAGATTAATCATAAAATACCATAAATAATTAATTGCATATTACAATATGGAATTCATCATTGCTTCTTCTAAACTCAATAGAGTGTTGTGCATAATTAGCATCTTACACACTACATGCATCATATATGTGGAATTCACCATTGTGCACAATTAGCATCTTACACACTACATGCATCATATATGCAATTGTGTATTTAATTGTGTATTGAATTGAGAAGAGGTGTAAATGTATTAACTAACATTTTTCAAAATCTGAATTACAATACCATAATTCTAATATTGAGATTTCTTTCTCCATAAAGCTTAATAAATCCATAATATTAATTGTGGAGCTTGACACTTAAACTAAATCAATTAACTTCAAAAAGTCAATAAAATGAAAGTGTAATTGAATGGATGCAGCAAAATTACATTGTTTTTCCTTCACTAATAAAAGAACACATAAACATCACATAAAACATGAATCATTGGTACTTGAAACAAATTATCATTACAAAAGCTGATTAGTACATACCATGTATAAAAGGAAAAGATAAACAATAGTGATTAAGAAACAATATTAACTAGAAATTGCAAAATTTTAAGAAATGAATAGCTAGTTAAACTTTAAGTAGAATTTGCTAGTTTAGACTAAGCAACAATGTTTAAGACAACTAAATCTTATAGGAATTCAAACACAATGGCGTTTTAATGGTATAGAAAATAAACTACCCAGACCAGACAAATTGAGAAACTAAAATATATATTGATGACCAGCAATTGCTAGAGTCAATTATCATGGAAAACCTGCGACACAATTCAATCTAAATACTATAATGGACATTTAACATGATGATTAACCATTTATTAATGCATAGAAAAACATTGATGTCATTTGTGAGCACATTAGCAATGACCAACAACACGCTGATGAGAAGCTGTTATTAAAAAACTGTAATTAAAAGAAGAAGCAAGTGGTAAAACAATTTGTTCAATAAAATATGGCGACAAATGAAGAAGTAAGTAAAATTTGATCTTTAAATGATATTTTTTTATCCTCCAATACTACTCCTTTAACAATCGTTGATAAATTAATCACTAAAAGTCCATGGCTTGATTCATATAAGACAAGAAATCAGATTAAAAGTAACAATTAAATCAAAATTTAAAGACATAAAACCAATCCAACACAAACTACCATTTTCCATTTATGCTTCTCTATACTTCAATGGAACGCACTACCATTAATGATACGATATAGATACTGTGATTATAAGGAGATATGAGTCATTCTCATTATAATGGCTGTATATTTTTTATACTTGCATTAGAAGTCATAAAAATTTCATATCACATCACGGAAAGAAGAAAAACTTTATAAATACTGTGATTATAAGGAGATATGAGCCATTCTCACTATAATGGCTGTATATTTTTTATACTTGCATTAGAAGTCAAAAAAATTTCATATCACATCATGAAAAGAAGAAAAACTTTACCTACTCATTCTATTTTAGAATTCTTTAAAAATTACACTATAGATACAATTCCCTTTTAATAAATAAGTTGTTAAACACACAAGCAAACAATTAATGGGATGCTATAATGCTCCTGCTCCTAAATTGTAAATTAATTTAAGATACATAATCAAGACCACCCCAAGAGATTACAATAATATGATTTTTTTTTTAGTGCCTGAAACAAACTAAACATGATATAAAAACAACACAGAGATGGAAAAAGGTATTAAAACAATAAAATTATAACCTACCATCGTTACACTTTTAACAATCTTCGATAACTTAATCACTAAACTAGCCACCGTTTAATTCATATACTATAAGAAATTGAATTAGAAGTGACAGTTAAACTAAAATGTAAGAACAACACGAATTTGATTTATACTAACACTTTTCAATTATGCTTCATTTTACTTCAATAAAACATGCCTTCATAAACAATACCATAATGAGAACGAGATATCAACCATTCTTGCTACAATGGCTATATATTTCTTTAAAAATTACATTAAAAGTGAGCAATATTTCATATCATAACATAGAATGAAGAAGATTGCAAATCATAATGAGTTTCTTCGCAAATCATAATGAGTTTCTTCACAAATCAGATGCCAAATGCATAACAACTAATATCATGTCATAAAGCTCACAGATCCAAAATCAATTCAAGATACATGATCAAGACCACAATAAAAGATTATTTACCTAGTGAATCCACCCCATCATTTTTAGTGTTTGAAACTAACAAAGCCTAAGATAAACACAACATTGAGCAAAAAAAAAGGTTTTGGGAAGAAAAAGATTAGGGCATTGCAAAAACTTAATTTCCAACATATCATGTTTTATATAAACAGTAAATTATGGAAAAGAACATCTATCAAAGCACAAACAAAATGAGATTAAAATGAATTTAACTTATCATGAAAAAAAAATGATGTTTACATACAAATCTTTAAAGAAACCAAATTGTGTAATTTAAGCTTTAAAGGTAGGCTTAGATGCTCCCATAAACCAAGAAAAAAAAAACCTTGAAAAATGATTTCGATCAACTTTGAAGATAGATGGTCATAGAGAGAAACTAAAAGAACCTGGATGTGGGCTTCATATCAACCCATATAAGAGCTTGAAAAAATTAGTTTATTTTACTACATCCTTCAATATCTAAAAATGATGTCTTGTTTTAAAATTCTATTCAATTATTCATTTGTTAATTAAAATAAAAAAAATTATTCATAATTTTTTTCATTACAATTTTCATGTTTTATTTTTTTCAACCATAATTATAGTTATACTTAAACATTTCTTGAACTAGTAACTTGATTTGGATTAGCTTTTAAATTGAATTGAAAAAGATATTGATTTGATAATATATGGTTGACTTGGTCGGGTTTTTAATGATTTGATTAACTTATATAAATATTATCCAAACTTGATCAAGTCAACACTAAGAAAATTATTGGAAAAAAAATACTAATCGAGTTGACTTGTTATAGATTAACCCAATAATTTAATGAATTAAACGAGGCTCATTTCGGACAAGTCCTCCATCCGCATTTAACAACTAACTTAAATGAATGCATGGAAGAAAAATAAAAGGTTAAAATCCATTGTGAATTTGATGGGTGGATAATTGAAAATATAATAAGAAATATATCAAAATATAATAACAGTTATGATTCAAAGTTTTTTTTTTAAGAAATATATCAAAATAATTTTTTTTAAAAATAATTTTTAATATTAATCCATCAAAATAATTTAAATATATAAAAATAATAATTTTAAATAAAAAATTTAAATTTTTTTAAAACATGATTCCCAGACACTTAGGATAGTATTGGAACTCAGACCCTTAGGATAAGTATTGGAAGGATTAATGAGTTCAACTTTTGATGGGATAATAATCAGCGACTGGGCAAACCCAAATTTGTGGCTTTTAGGCAGGTGGTTGAAATGATAGTTAAATGTACAGCCCCCGAGCAACAGCAATCGATCCACATCGACCAACAAACCTGCCATATACTTGCATTAGGAAGGAGTTATGCAGGAGTTATGCCTACCTGGCTCCACAAGCATTTAATTCTTTTCAAGCATATGCAAAACCTGAACTTGATGCTGAAGAGGTCACCAGCTTGACGATGGTTATAAACTGGAACAAGATTACATGCCCAGCTTGATTTATCTTCGAAAGACCCGTGACCATGGGAGCTCCAAGGAAGGAAGCAAAACATCTAGCTTGCTTTTACCCCAGAATATACTTGACATAAAAAAATTAGAAGCAGCTTTTAAGTTGTTAGGAGGAAGAGATAAGCGTCCAGGCGCTGACCAATTCATTGACAATTACCATTATACAATCACCGAGTAAATGATCAAAATTCAATCACCGATTGGCTCTATACAGGATCTTTTTTCATGGTGATCATCAAAAGAAATCGAACGCTCCTCCCAATACTAGCCCACCTTACCTTATATTACAATGAGCTATGCTCTCAAAACCTTGCTCAAGAACGCAAGGTTTTGACCTCTCTTCTTTGTTCAATCAATCAAACTACTTACAAGATATCAGCAATGATCACCGGAGAAAACATATATCATATATACACTACTACGGGCATTTCTCAAGACTCCCGGCAAAACGATTCAAAACTCCTCTTGTTAAATCTGGCTGTGTCTGTGACTCTGGTTGCGATTTAGCTCCCTTCTATATACACTTGATTTTGCGAGTTCTAAGCCACAGCAGGGATGCTGGAATTTTGGCGATCCCTGTTGAGGCAATCAAATCCTTCTACTCTAACCATGGCTGGCTTAAGCCCAAACTTCATTCTTGCACACCCTCCTTTCCGTGCAGATGATGATGGAGACGATAAACCTGAAGGAGATGGAATGGACAATGGTGACATTGGAGTGATTTTATCATCCCCAAATCTAGCATCTTGAATTAATGGGTTGCCTACTCTGGATGGAGGAGACCCACAAAAAAATGGAGGTGGCGATGAGACCACCTGGGTAGCAGAATGATCTGGCTCATGACCCTCCTGTTAACACCAAGATCATAGTCAAGTCAAAACAAACCCATAACATGAAATACAGCCTCCAGATTCCTCTCCATTTATAAAAATGTTGAATGACCAGCAAACAAGATCAACATAATCAAATTAAACAACCAAAATAGCAAAGCACCCTCACCAAAAGGAAAAGAAATTGAGTTCAGATGCCTCCCAAATAAAGGATTATGCATCAACAACATCATAAGCATACGTCAAAATTATCAACTTCTACTACACAAATGTCTTCCTAACTTCCACACAAAAAGGACAACACCAGTTTACCTTCATGAGAATAATGTCCAGAAGCTCCGCCCCAGCTTTCCAATCACCCACTTCGGCTTGATGGCTGTCATTAAAAACAATTCCCACACATTAAAATCATCCTGGGTCGCAAAACAACTGAATAAACCTAATTTAAAAAAAAAAAGCAGAAATCACCAAAAACTACATACCTCACGGGCCATCTCAAAGGCCTAATGGGATTATTAGTCAGAATTCCTACTCGCCGAGGCTTTGGACACACAACAAGACCCTTGGAATCAGAAATTGAAACCAAACCTCTTCTCTCATCACAACAAGTAATGGCGTTCTGCTGAAGACTGATTTGATTCATCATCTTCAAATTTGTAACAATATATTCACAGCAGTAGAACGACTGTCCATTTTCAAGAAATAAATCTTAGAAATCAAGTACTTACTATAAAATAAATCACTCTGATCTAATTAAAACAAAGAACACCACATTAAATCACGAAAAAAATATTTAAAATCAAATTGACAACACAAATAAAGCTAAAAAAAGGTGGAAATATTCAAATCTGTTTCGAATTCTTTAATATTCCTCAACTTTCTCAGCAACCAAACAGAAGGAATTACAGATCCAGACGAAAGCCTTTTAAAAACAAAATCCATCAGAATCAGGTCTTAAACAATCAAAAAAACTCATCTTATCTCCCATTAAAACACTGAAAAATTAACAAGGCTTAATTTCCAACGAAAAACAGTGAGTACCTGAATTATTTTTAAAAAAATCAATAACAGCTCAAAAATAAAAACAGCGAAGGAAGCCACCGAAACCAGATCTGATCTACACTTCAATTAGCAAGCAAGGATAGATCTGCTTATTAGCAATCGTAAAAAGGCAAGTATTTACATACGTACGGATATACGTAGAGAGAGAAGTACCTGAAGCAGAGGATATGTATAGAGAGAGACAGAGAAAGAGACGGCGCCTGCCACGAAGGAGAGGAGGAGAAAGAAACCGAGCGGGGATGGCATATTTATAGAAGAATGGAAAAAAAAAGGGAAGTTGTCTACTGACTGGCTGACTGACTTGGTAAGAAAATTACTATAAAAATCTATGCTTAGGGTCAAAATGAGAAATGGTTATATTGGTGATTTGTTATTATTATTAATTAACAAAATTAAAAGTGTACAAATTATTATTCATTTATACTCATTATATATAGTACACTAGAGATTACAAATTATTTTGCTTTTTTTTTTCCTTTAGATATATATTTAGTATTGAATTTTTGTTATAATTATTTTTGTTGTTTTATTTTTAAATATTAGAATAATTAAAAATTTATTTTTATAATTTATTTTTTTATTTTTTTATTTTAAAGAGTTAGCATAGTTTATGAGTTTATTATGATGACCTACATGTTGCGAGAGATTTTTTCAATTAAACTTGTTTTTTTATAGTTTATATTTTTTTTAATTGCATTGTGAATTATAATAATAATTTATGATTTTTTTCTTTAATTTTTTTGGTTAAAATTTTGTTATAAGTTTTTTTTTCAAATTTATTTTTGTCAATTTAATTTTTAAATGTTAAGGTAGTTTAGAAGTTGACTTCATAATTTGTTTTTTTATTTTGCTTTTTTTATAGAGTTAGCATACTTTGCACATTTGTCATGAGAACACTTTTTTTTTAATTTAATTTAACTTTTTTGTAATTTATTTTTTCTTATATAGTTAAAAAAATTTTCTTATTTTGCTTTTTTTATAGAGTTAGCATGCTTTGCAGATTTGTCATGAGAACACATTTTTTTTAATTTAATTTAACTTTTTTATAATTTATTTTTTCTTATATAGTTAAAAAAAATAGTTTTTGAGAAAAGTTATGCTATTAAATTTTATAAAGTAACAAAAACTAAAAAATATGGAAACTATTATGCATCCACACTCATTGCATCATAGATAATAGTATTTTGCTTCGTCATCTTTTTCTTCTTCTTTTTTGTTTTTTTTTTGTTATACTATTTTTAAGATTTTTGTTGATTTTATTTTTTAATATTGGAGTAGTTGAGAGTTGAATTTTATAATTTATTTCCTTTTATTTTGGATTTTTATATGGTTAGTGTGGATTGTTGATTTGTCAAGGTAACCCGATTACTCTAATTTATGAGTTTGAAGGGGTATCTTTTTTATTTTTTTAATTGAACTTAAATTTTTTTTATCATCAATTTTTTTCTCAAATAGTTAGAAAAAATAGTTTAAAAGAAAAATCATGTTATTAAACTTTATAAAGTCCATAAACCTATTCACTAGTTTGACTGGTTAACCTGATTTGCATGTTTAACATGTTTAACTTTTTTTTAATTATTTTTTTTATTTCATCCTTAGATATTGGGTTAATTGGAAATTCAATTTCATAATGGTTTCGTTTCACTTCCTATAAAGTTATTGTGGTCACAAAAAAACTTAGAATTGAGTTGGTATTTGATTTTGCGATAATCTATTTTTGTTATTATAGAGTTAAATAAAAAATAGTTTTTGAAAAAAAACAAATTATAATCTTAATGAAGTCCATAAATTGATTTATAGGTTTGATGTATTACCTCGGGTTACTCGATCATAAGTTTGATGATTTTACCCATCTATTAGTTATGTTTTTTTTATTTATTTATTTTATCCTTTAATATTGGACTGTTTAGGAAATAAATTGTATTATTTATTTTTGTTTGCTTTCTATAGGGTTATTATTCTCAAATAAATGTCTATTTTTATGTTAATATTCAATTATATGAGTATCTATTTTTATCATGTAATTAAATAAAAAAATTTATAAAAAATTATTAAACCCAAAATCATGACACGAGTGATGGGAGGAACAAAGTCAATTTAACTTATCATTGTTTCAAGATTTTTTTTAAAAAAAAATAAGTCATTATCTTAAAGTTTTTTTTGAAATCTAAGTCATGTTTTTACCAATCATCAAGGTTACATTTGAACCCATAAAATTGATCAATTTAAGTCAAGCTAGCTATCTTGTTGTTTAATTGAAAACTTGAGTTAGACAAGGATCTGAGTAAGGAGGTTTTAAGATTAACTCGCTAGATTAGGTTTAATAATTTATTAAAAGATTCTTCATGATCTTAACATTTTTTTACATTTAAAAAAAAAATAGTCTGACCTGTGACGAAATGCAAGCCAATAAACTAGTACAATACACTAGAATATGTGGGGTTTTACTATAACAATAAGTAATGAAAACCCTACTTTGACTTTTATTTACATAATTGCTTTGTTTTTTTATTTCAATCAATGTTTTTTTTTTTCATTTTATTCTTTAATATTAGATTTATTTTTTTATCGAGTTATCTCACTCTCATGACACAGATCATAGGTTTAGTAGGTTAACCTAATTGACTTTGGTTTTTTTCTTCTTAATGATTTTTTTTTTAATTTCATCTTTTTTATTGGATTAATTGGAATTTAGGCTTCATGATTTATTTTATTTTGTTTCTATTTGGTTATTCTAACCTCATTACCCAAAATATTGCTTAACTAGTTAACCTGAGATGACTGAGGTTAGTTTTTGTGTTTTTTAATTGAAACTTTTTCTAATTTTATCAATCAATATTGGGTCAGTTTGGAATTAAGCTTGATAATCTATTTTCATATGTTTTTTTATGGGGATATCTTAGTTTTATTATCATAGGCATGTGTTTTGTCATTTTAACCCTAGTTAAATTGAGTTTTTTTTTCTAAAAAATTATATTGATCTCAAAACTCAGATCATGAGTCCTTCAAATTTGATTTTTTTTTATTGGATTGTTTCTGTCTCATGATCTATGGCACGAGTTTACTGATTCGCCCAGTTGACTAGTTTTTTATTTTTTTAGTTGATTTTCTCTATTTTATCATTTAATATTTTGTTTCATTTAGAATTGGGTTTCATGATTTCTATGGGTTTGTTTTTTATTATGTTATCCTAACCTCGTAACCTAAAAATAGTGTTTAATGGATTAACGTAGGCTAATTTGATTCATTGTTATGTAATTTTTTAATTAGATTTTTTATAAATTTCATTATTCAATAATGGGTCTGGCAAGGTCAATTAGGGATTGAACTTTATAATTTATTTTTATTTTTTATCAATGGGTTTGTCTTAATCTCATAACCAGAGTCAAGGATTTGACAGGTTAAATCAGATCTTTTTTAAAAAAAATATACAAGGTTATCTTCATCTCTTGACCTATGTTGTCATGACTCAGGTCATAGGTTTGGTGGATTAACTTGAGTAATTTTTTATGTTATTTTTTTAATTAATTTCTTTTCTTTTTTAATCTCATCCTTTAATATTAAATTGTTTAAGAATTAAAATTCATAATTTATTTTTATTTTTCTTCAATTGGGTTAATCTTATGACCCGAGTCATGAGTTTGATAGTTAAATTGGCTCATTTTTTTAAGTCCTTTTTTCAATTGATTTTTTTATAATTTTATCCTTCAACATTTGGTTGATTAAGAATTAGACTTCATAATTTATTTTGATTTTTTTTCTATATATTTATCATAGTCTTATAAACCAGGTCATGAATTTAACATGTTAACTCGGGATGATCTAAGTCAATCTAATATATTTTTATCTTAATATTAAAAAAAAATATCATCTTGAATTTTTTTCTAAATCAAACTATATTTTTATGGGTTGTCCAGGTTGCTTTCAAACATATAAAATCAAGAGAGTCAGTTTAGATCATTCCTACACAATTTAATTTTTTATCCACTAGAAAAAAAATTAAAAACATTGACAACATTTAAGAAATAATTTACTGGACCCGCAACATAACATGACTCAATAATCTAGTGTTTATATATTGAATGAAAAACATGTTGTATTAGTTGATATTTTGACTATTTTTTCATATTCTTTGGATGATTTCATGGTGTGAAAAAGAGTTTTTATGAAATGTATATTGTATTAACACTTGTTAAGAGTTAATTATTTTATTTTTATCTTGTGCGAAAAAAGTTAGGATCATACTTGATAGATCTTGATTGACTAAGATAGAGTCTCGATTACTAAATTATTAGATCAACTCATGGTTATTAAGTCAATTATTTCTACTAAAACAATGTTGTTGTTTTTTCTCCTAATTTATTTGGTGATGATTTGGTTAGGCTGGTTAGGTTAATTCGATCACTAAATACTCAGTTAGATCAATCAAATTTAACTAGGTTATTATCTTATTCGGCTTAATTAGAAACATGATTCGGGTCAAGCATTGAGTCTTGGGTTTTTTTAGTCAATCCATACAGGCTTAATTGAGTTTAGACATTATGATTAAAAGTATATTTTCTATCTCAAATATCATAAATTATCGATCATCAACAATACTCAAAACTCGTTATTCTCTATGAGTAATGTTATAATAAGAGTTTGTAATATGAAAAGGGTTTGTGTAAGATAGAGTTTGAGATTATGATTGATGTTGCTTTTTAAATATTTTTTTACATGAAAATACATCAAATATTATTAAATTTACAATCTTCTCATTGCTCACATATTGTTTGATTCCAGAACTAGTAACATAAACAAATATTGTAAATGTGATAGAATTTAAAAAGTGAAAGTTTCCTATATGTATTATCAATTTAAAATGATCAACATTGTTAATCATCATCCATGTATTTTTTTTCTCCCACCTCGTTGAGGCATACCATAAACACCAATTGGGGTTTACAAATTAACTTCAATTCATTTAATTTTGTTTATTATAAGGAAAAAAACCAAAAAAATTTATTAGAGTAAATCATATAACATATTCAATAGCTATCTTAATTCAAAATAAACAAATTCTAGTGGTTAGATTACCCTACATTTCCAACCATTTTTTAATTTCTTTGTAATAAAGTCATTGAGAATTAAAACGAACATAAAAAAATCCTTGATATTATGTTAAAGAATTGATTTTTACTCATAAAAAGCTCCTACATCTTTTTATATGGAATTAGACACGAGTTGTTGGCGGGATTAAAGAATCCAGCTTTTAGAATCAATA